ACAGGGATGCCCACAAGGCGGGGTTCTATCCCCCTTGCTATGGTGTCTAGTATTGGACTCGCTTATTAGAGAGTTAAACAAATATTGTTATACACAAGCCTATGCGGATGACTTGGTTATAGCAGTGGTGGGTAAATTCCCAGACACTATTATTGACTTAGCACAACAGAGACTTAACACTATACAGATATGGTGTAGTAAGTACGGTCTATCTGTTAATCCAAATAAAGCAGAGGTTGTTATGTTCACTAGAAAGAGAATAGGACTAGACAACCTGGACACTCTTACTCTGAATGGACAAGAAATTAGCTTAAAATCAGAAGTAAAATACTTAGGTATTATCTTGGATAGTAAGCTAAAATGGAAATCACATGTTGAGTCAAGAATCAAAAAAGCAATGACCACATTGTGGACTTGCAGCAGAGCCTTGGGAAAGACATGGGGTCTTAAACCAAGAGTTATGTATTGGTTGTACACGTCAGTGATTAAACCTATGATATTGTACGGTGCCCTGGTCTGGTGGACCAGAACAGCACTCATTACAGCTAGGAAAGAACTTAGTCGCATACAGAGAATGGCTGCTATTGCCATCACTGGAGCATTAAGAACTACACCAACGGTCGCATTAGAGGCACTAATTGGATTGCCTCCTCTGCATCTAGAGGTGAAAGCTCACGCCAAAGCTACAGCACTAAGATTCCACAACTTAGGTATGTGGACTTTGGAGAGTGATACAACAGAACATGGTAAAATACTAAAAGAGATAGACAAGGGCTTTTTAGAATACCCCTTGGACTATATCAAACCGGTTCTTAAGAATAACATTCCCTACAAAGTGGAGATCACTACACGTATAGAATGGAATATTAACCACCTGACTGACAAAGGAGGATTTGTGATATATACAGATGGATCCAAAAAATCAGGAAAGGTAGGTGCTGGAATTTGGGGCTTAAAGCCACGAATAAATGTCAGTATGTCATTGGGCACAACACCCTCTGTTTTCCAAGCAGAGGTGATGGCGATACTGGTAGGGGCTCAGAACCTGCTGGTATACAAAAATAGGAAGATAACTATCTTAAGTGATAGTCAAGCGGCTTTGAAAGCACTCTGTAACGATCAGGTGAATTCAAAGCTGGTCCTCGAATGCAGGGAAACTTTAGAATCACTATCGAGGTTCAACAAAGTTACACTAGCGTGGGTACCGGGACACAACGGTGTCACTGGAAATGAGAATGCTGACTTTCTAGCCAGGAAAGGAGCAGAGAACACCTATGTTGGACCAGAACCAGTGGTAGGGCTCACTGAGCAATCGCTCAAAGCGTTACCCAAGAATTGGTGCAGAGAACAACACAGGAAAATCTGGAAGTACTTGGTAGTACCTAGACAATCTAAAATGTTTATCAAGACCCCTGGTTTATTGCTGGGTGATCTTAATAGCATGACTAGACATCAAATAAGCACCCTGACTGGTCTACTGACAGGACATGGTCACCTGCTTAAGCATCTTAACGCAATGGGGGTATCGGAATCACCATTGTGCAGAAAATGTGGAGTAGAAGAGGAAGACTCATTTCACATCATGTGCGAATGTGAAGCCTTGTCCACACTAAGATCAAACTACTTGAATAAACCATTTCCTGAAAAAGAGGATATTAAAAACCTAAAACCCAGAGAGATACTTAATTTCGCCAGAAAGACAGGACTCTTTGGTCATCTCTAGAGGTGACTTTATGGTTGGTAATGTATTAACACTTTGGTGATAACACTTAGGTGGGTAAACCGAATCAAGACAATTCGGTATGAGGTGCGCACAATGGACCAACAGGTCTGAGTGCATGGGCATTATGTCCACCTCAATAATAACTAAAAACTAAAACTAAAATAGAGCTAGCCAGTTAATATTTTTAAATAAATTATTTCTTTATAAAATCAATTCGACATGCACGTTTAATATATACAAGTTAACTAAGTTGTTACAGCAGCAAAAATCGTGGTCTTTAAACAGTCGTTATTATAGTATAATTTATATGAAATAATCTTCCCCCAACTAAGGCGCAAGTCAGCTTAATTCAAAATACCCTATTGTGTATATTTCTTTTTTCCTATATAATAAATGGACACTGAATTTTATGAGATGGTCACTGTGTTTCGCATTTATTTTACTGTATACAATTAGTTCTATTATCGAGCATGCTTAACTTAATTTAAGACACCTATTGTAAATGTATGCAAGTTTTTGACAACGTTTTGGCTACATACATTAGGTTAACTTAATTTATTTTTTTTATTGTCATAAATAGCATTAAATTATTTTTTTAATTCATAAACATTTATCGTTCATTGTGCATGCATTGTGCATGCATTGTTTATTATTGTATTCGGTACCCCAACATCCCCTTTTAATTATTAAATTTTTTTAATCATAAGCGTTAATGTTCTGAACAGACCTCGAAAACACGGAGAATACTCTTTGGGGCCCCGAGACTATTCAAGAAGTCGACGACAGGGCCGGGCTTTTCATAGGAACCGCTTGGTAGCCGACTATTGAAAGCCCACACGAAGGAAGCTCCTCCAACGATCAAAAGCTTGTGAATTAAGGAGTGTGGACATCGAAGACCCAGAGATTCTTACTACTACACTAATGTCCCTCCAAATTTATTATTTTAAATATTTTTTCTTTTCCTACGTAGCATTATTTTGCCAGAGTTATTTTGTTTTTGTTTTTTTTATTAAGATCTAGGGTTAGACCTTAAGTGTAGGGGAAGCAACTGATACGATCACATTTGCATGTGCCCATATCTCTGTCTCCCATAACATCGTTGTACCGTTTAATAGACATATATACAGGGTGTTCAGTAAGTCAGGAAACGGGTTTCTGTTGTTCTCATTGTTACAAACAATGAGAACAATAGAAACCCGTTTCCTATTTTATATTGTTTGTACCAATGAGAACAATAGAAACCCGTTTCCTGACTTACTGAACACCCTGTATATATATAATTAACACAGTGACATACAACAATACTAACAGGAGGGCGGACTGCACACATAAACACTTTTGTAATTCACGGCCAATGTGCCATAATAAGATACAGTAGAACTCCAATTATCCGAACTCCGATCATCCGAATCGCCGATTATCCGAATCACTTTCAGAAAAAATCAGAAAAAAATTTGTCCAAAGTCCGCGGCGTCAGTGTAGGCACAATACGTGGTAAGAGTTCCCACTCCAGTTCCGGCGCATTGCAGTCACCTGTCATTGTTTATTTTGATTAGCCAGTGAATGGGTCCCGGTCCCCATTAATTCGGATAATTGGAGTTCTACTGTATCCCTATAGTGTGTGTGTGTGTGTCGCCGTCAGCTCCCTGTTGGATTATATCATCTCTAGGTGTCCAGCTGGTTGTATTATCTATTTAATATTTCAATTGCTTAATAAATATTTATTTATATCGTTGTTAACCTAAAGTGTTATATATATGTATATATATATATATATTGTAGTGCGACCCTTGGTAGTTCCTCTAAGGGAATATAAATTAAATAGGTAACTTCAGTACCTAAGGTAGATATAGCCTAGCCAGCTATCCCCCGTTGGTCCCTTAGAATACAGTCGACGGGCATTTAGGTTCAACCCCTAAATAGCGACGTAAATAATTATTTATATAGTACATATAGTATCAAAGTATATTGTATTACTTGACCACCTGTATTACATAAAAATAATTAAAAAATTATATACTTTTATTAGATGTTGTCATTAGCAAGTAGCAATGATTTTCTTTTAAGTTGTGTTATCACTAAAATACTTGACACTAATATAAAAATCTAAGTGATTGTTTGAAGTACAAATTTTAATCAAAGAATTAATTTATTCTTTAAATTAATTAGTAAAATAATGTTATTGATTTTTATAAAAATTAATATAATTCTAAATTATTGCTATTTCATCATATTATACAAAAAAAATTTGAAGTAATTATATATTTCTGTGGACGTACGTCGGCGCGGCTGCTTTACGAATACCGTTAAGGTACTCGTTAGAACAGCCGTGGCCGGACACCACTTGGGTCAGACGGTAGGTCATTTCCCCGTGAGTCCGGTCAATATACCTGTCGAGTTGACAGGGTCCGATGAGGTATCTGGTCCACACTCTCTTTCTCGGATAACCGTCGACGACAGTTAGACACGGTGACGCTCCAGAGCCAGCCGGTTCTCCTTGCGTAGGAGTGGACCGGTGTTTTCCGGATCTCGTGTCCATCAATGGCGCGCTCGACGGCCATTAAGTCCGCGGGCAGCATTTAAGCCATCCGATGACGGTGCGGTATGCATACACGGTCCGAATTAACCGGAACCGGTTCAGGGCCTCCACGTTCTTGAGGAGTACTCTTGTGCACCTTTCAGTGTAAGCAGAGAAAGTTTTTTCTTTCTCCTGTAAAGTTTTAACATTGGAATTAAAAAGATTTCTTAAATTACCGATTCTTTAGGAAATGAATATTTTTGTCAAAAACTATCGGGTTCTTCTAAGCATAAAACAACAAAATCGATCCAGTTGAATCGATCGGAACTCAGTGAGAGATGAAAATTTTCATGAAAGGACTTTTAAAAAAATCATGTGAAAACAATACTTTATAAGCTTTATCGAAGCCAAAACAATGGTGAAAACATATTTCACTTTTATTTAACAGACAGCCCAAAAATGAATTACTTTTTTTTTCATAAAATAATATCCGTTATACACATTTTTAATTATATTATTCATTATTTCATTTTGATTCTAATAGATATAATAAATAATAACAAAGTCAGATATTACTTTTTTACAAAAAAATAACGCATGATTTTAATATTTAACAAGTTTAAAATTAAATGAAAAATTAGATTTTATGAAATAGTTCTTATTAAAATAATTTATGGTTGTTTATTTAATATTGTAAATACATTGTAAAACTTATTCATTTAAAAGAGAGATATGAAAAATTATTTAAACTAATTTTTTAATTTTTGGCTCAGTATTACTACTAAAATATATTTGTTCTAATAGTATTTCTTTTAATAATACATAATGATTATTAATAAGTATTTAACTATAAAAACTATTATAATAATCTTTTTAAAAATTCAACAATCAAAATTTTTTGTTAAGCGTGATGAAATTTTTGAAAATACTTTGAAACTAGACACTGGTTTTAAATATCCCGATTACAATCAACTACGTAAATTGAATTTAAATAAATTACTAAGAACGATTTTGGAAGAACAAGAAATAAAAAGTTATTATAGAGATAAAAACTCTGTCATGTATTATGACCTCCAATGTGCCAATGTTTTTAATTTGAGGCATTTTATGATTTTAAGTAAGTATTTCATTGAAAATAATTTACTCGACAATATCATACTGAGTGAATCGATAACAAAACATATGGTAATTTCGGAAATTTATACTATGGGCATATGCAACAAAACTTTTTGGACAATGCATATGGTTAATTATAAGGTTCAACAAATCCGAAATATAAAACCAAACGATACTAAATATATAAAACAAATGTATGAATTTGTATGGTTAAAAATAAAATATGATATTCAATTATGTCGAAAAAAGAATAACTATGATAAAGACACAAACTCTGACGATCCTAATAAAAAGTCTCTTATGTTACGAAATATTATTGCCGAAATGGAAAGAAGAACAAACTACAACAATATAATATTAGGTATTATTGAAAAAGAAAATTTTGTTTCCCTCGAACATCTTTCTTTTAATTATATTATTGAAAACTAAAACGTTTTGAAAACTGTAATTATGGAATTCGGCGAACAAACAGAGGAAATTTTTGTAAAAATATATCAAAATATTATTAATGATTGCAGGAAAATAAAAAATAATGATTTGTCATTTGATTTTTGGATTGAACACATTGCCGATTACAAAATAAAAATGTTAAATATTTTTAGAACCGTTCTATTACATTTGATGAAAAAGCAAATAATGTATGGTGATTTGTTGTCGAATTATAGCAATACAAAGACTGTCGTTAAGTCTCACAAAAAAATGAATGACTTACTTTCCAATACACATGTTATAATGAAATTTTTTAATGACTTACGCAACGAAATTTCAACTGTTATAGAATCGTTTGACAATTTTCCTCCTAAATACAGTTCAATGAGAGGAGCGCATAATTTGCGGATTTCATATATTCAAAACATAATTAACAAAATGATACCGAAATATTTTGAATTCGATGAAAACATATCTAACCAACAGTATTTATCAAATTTAAAGAATACAGTCCAGAATCTTATTTCAACCATGGGAATTAGTAATAATGATTCCGATAAGAAAACAACAAATTTAAAAAATACTATTGAGGAAGGGATGTATTATAATTATTCTATCACTGTTATGTATCTACGTTACTTGGAAAATATTTTCAATGAATTCAATTTAAAATGTTTTTGGTCATTTATTGAATTTTCAAAATCTATTCGATTGGCTGGTTCATTTAATACAGTCTCAAATATAAAATCTCAAAATAAATTCTTTCAACCTAATTAAAATTAATATTTTCAGTGCATTACAAAAATGTTTAATGATTTTTTACATTAATCATAAATTATCACTTTCAAATTGATATTTAATAATTATCATTATATATCTGTATTATTTTTCAAATATATCAAATTAATTATGTATATTTACATTATTCATAAAATAAACAATTAATAAGAGAAAAAATAACACGTTATACTATTTATTTTAAGGTGAAAGTTTCACAGCTGAAAGCGATTTCCATTATGGTATTAGTTTCGATGCGAAACTGAGAAGGTATTAATTTTACTATGATGTGTTTTTTTTTTTTGTGTCTGTTATCACTTTTTCTCAGCTCTCACTGGACCCATTTCTTTCAACAATACGTCAAAAACATCCACTTGACACGATCTCCCACATCTTCTACGCTCACATCAACTGTCCTCATATCGCATTCAATAACATCCCTCAATCTCTTTTTTGGTCTTCCTATACCTCTTTTTCCTTCAAAATTCATTTTATATAACTGTTTTTACAGCTTCCAATTCTTCTCACCTCATAGCATGACTAAACAATCTAAGTCTATCTTATCCACGATTAACGCAACACCTTTACTTCCTCTTATATGCTCGTTCCTTATCCTATCTTCTCTAGTCACTCCACTCATCCAACTAAGCATTCTCATCTCTGCTACACTTATTCTCTGCTCTTAGGTAACCCTAAAGATAAGGTAGATGAAGGGGGGAAATCAGGCATTTATAAAATACAATGTGAAAGTTGTAATAAATGTTACGTAGGACAAACAAAAAGAAATATAGGGGTCAGGTTTAAAGAGCACTTAAGAAATATTAAAAATCAAGAAATTGAGAAATCTCCAGTGGCTGAACATTTATTGACACATAATCACTCTATTAAAACCATAAAACTAATTAAAAACGTAAATAATTACAAAGAACTTAATATCAGAGAAGCAATAGAAATGTTTAAAAATAAAAACAATTTAATTAATTGGGATCTTGGCCCACTGAAAAATTCATTATTAAACTTGTGTAAACTGGCAAAATGTGATAATATTACTTAGTGATAACGTCACTAGGTGATAAGGTCACTAGGGGTATATAAGGGAGTTTTTTCTAGTCGGGGTGTCAGNAATAACGTCACTAGGGGTATATAAGGGAGTTTTTTCTAGTCGGGGTGTCAGTATGTGTTTAGCGTTGATAATGGTAACATTGTTTCCGAAATACGTATCCGCGACTTTTCATTAATTTTTTTGTGGCTTTGAGTTTAATATTTTTTAGTTTTTTAAATTAATAATATTTTTAATATAGTTTTAATTTTACTTAAATTGTAAAACTTATTCATTTAAAAGAGAGATATGAAAAATTATTTAAACTAATTTTTTAATTTTTGGCTCAGTCTTACTACTAAAATATACTTATTCCAATAGTAATTATTTTAATAACACATAATGATTATTAATAAGTATTTAACTATAAAAACTATTATTATAATCTTTTTTAAAATTCAACAATCAAAATTTTTTGTTAAGTGTGATGCAATTTTAAAAAATGCTTTGAAACTAGACACTGGTTTTACATATCCCGATTACAATCAACTACGTAAATTGGATTTCAATGAATTTCTAAGAAAGATTTTGCAAGAAAACGAAATAGAAGATTATTTTTTTAATAAATACTCTGTAATGTATTGTGACCTTAGATGTGCCAATTTTTTTAACTTAAGGCATTTTATGATTTTAAGTAAGTATTTCATTGAAAATAATTTACTCGACAATATCATACTGAGTGAATCGATAACAAAACATATGGTAATTTCGGAAATTTATACTATGGGCATATGCAACAAAACTTTTTGGACAATGCATATGGTTAATTATAAGGTTCAACAAATCCGAAATATAAAACCAAACGATACTAAATATATAAAACAAATGTATGAATTTGTATGGTTAAAAATAAAATATGATATTCAATTATGTCGAAAAAAGAATAACTATGATAAAGACACAAACTCTGACGATCCTAAAGAAAAGTCTCTTATGTTACAAAATATTATTGCCGAAATGGAAAGAAGAACAAACTACAACAATATAATATTAGGTATTATTGAAAAAGAAAATTTTGTTTCCCTCGAACATCTTTCCTTTAATTATATTATTGAAAATAAAAACGTTTTGAAAACTGTAATTATGGAATTTGGCGAACAAACAGAGGAAATTTTTGAAAAAACATATCAAAATATTTTTAATGATTACAGGAAAATAAAAAATAATGATTTGTCGTTTGATTATTGGATTGAACACATTGCCGATTACAAAATAAAAATGTTAGATATTTTTAAAACTGTTCTATTACATTTGATAAAAAAGCAGGCAATGTATGGTAATTTGTTGCCGAATAATACTAATACAAAGACTGTCGTTAAGTCTCTCAAAAAAATTAATGGCTTACTTTCCAATACACATGATATAATGGTATTTTTTAATGACTTACGCAGAGAAATTTCGACTGTGCTAAAATCGTTTAATAATTTTACTCCTAGTTACAGTATTATGAGTGAAGAGCATAAAATGCTGATTTCATATATTCAAGGTATAATTAAGAATATTAAACCGAAATATTTTGAATTCGATGAAAACATATCTGACCCACAGTATTTATCAAATTTAAAGAATACAGTCCAGAATCTTATTTTAACCATTGGATTACTCAAAAATGATTCCGATAAGAAAACAACAACTTTTAAAAATACTATTGAGGAAGGGATGTATTATAATTTTTCTCTTACTGTTATGTATCTACGTTACTTAGGAAATATTTTCAATGGATTCAATTTTAAATGTTTTTGGTCATTTATTGAATTTTCAAAATCTACTCGGTTAGCTGGTTCATTTAATACAGTGTCAAATATAGAGTCTCAAAATTTATTCTATCAACCTAATTAAAATTAATATTTTCAGTGCATTATAAAAATGTTTAATGAATTTTTATAATATTAAATTTTCAAATTAACTTTTTCAAATTTATATTCAATAATTAACATTATATGTTTGTATTATTTTTCGAATATATCAAATTAATGATGCATATGTACAATATTCATAAAATAAACAATTAATAAGAGAAAAAATAACACGTTATACTATTTTTTTTAAGGTGTGAGTTTCACACCTTTAGTTTCGATTCGACACTGAGAAGGTATTAATTTTACCATGATGTGTTTTTTTATATGTCTGTTGCCACTTTTTCTCAGCTCTCACTAGACCCATTTCTTTCAATAATACGTCAAAAGATCACAAATCGTATCAAGTTGAAGACGTTATCCTTAAAAATGAAAAAATTTCCCTCGTTCCCTGCAAATTGGAGAAATGTCCAAAAAAATTATAATTTATAAAACGTTAAATTAACTTTTTCAAAAATCAACATAATTTTTTTTATATTAAAACCTTAGGTATTTTCCTTTCATTTGATATTATTTTTTTGAAAATCTAATAATTAACATACTTACAGAGGGGAATTTAAAATAACAAATTTTTTTCCAAAAAGTAATTTTTTCAACTTAACTTTTGAAAATGTTCCGTAAATACTGCATTCTTTAAACATATATCAAATTAAAGCTTATGTCTAATTAATAATTAAATTAATGCTTCCGGTTTGTTTTATTTTTTTTAAATGATGTGTTGTCGCTCATTTAATAAACGGCCCAAAATAAACAGTTGCCGGAATTATTACACTTGTGATTTCATGCTTAAAGTACGAGGTTCGATCTGCCTAAAACAATTATATTTTTACATTTTTTTTAAGTTAAAAAAAAATTTTCAAACCAATTGATTTTTATCTCATTTAGATTCAATAACTTCAATAAATATCAAGGATCACTGTAGTGTTCTCTGGTGAGAAGTATTTATTTTCGAATTAGATTTGATATGATAAAAGTATTCAATACAAAAGTAAATAATTTTACTTTGTAATTTATTAATTTTTTAACTCGATTTGTGTATACTACTATCAGTCTATAATATTCCAATTTTCTTGGTAACATGTGTTTATATAGATCATTTCTAAAAAAATGATTTTTAGTGTCACCCGAATTTAACAACAGATTTTTACTATTGTAATGAAATTTTATGATTATACACTCAATTGAGTAGACTTTTTTAACAACTTTTTGATTGCTTCTTTCAGCTTAAGTAAATCATTAAAATTAATTAAGTTCTGAATATTACAATTGCAGAATCTTTTCAAACACCAAAAGTCACTAGGAAATTATTACTATAACTTCTATTTAAGTGATCTATTACGATAAAAATGCAAAAAAAATCGAGCTTTTCTGATAAATTTACTATAAGTAGTAATTATAAAATTTCCTGACTGCATATTCTTAACAATACCATTTTTTTTATCTATATAATGATGCCAATTTCAAACTTGCGAGTTGAGCTAATAATTATGGTATTAATTCATTTTTTTTTTTATTTATTATTATAATTTTTCAGTTTAAAGAACAAAAAAAGTAGGTTAAAAATAATTACTTTTAACATTTTAAAAATCAAAATCAATAATAGTTTGAAAATAATGAATTATAAAATTATAATAGTTTTGAATCTAAGAATTACTAATCAAGATAAAATTAAGGAAATAGAAGATCATGTAGATTTTGGAATAATCCACCAATATTTTTAAAATTAAACACTATCTATAAAATTAATAAATGTTATGTGTTAAAATAATTAAAAATTATAATTTTGATTGTTCGATATACATCTATTAATGACAATTTCAATCAATTTTATATTACTTTGGTAACACTACCATCGCTATAATTATCATCATCGGAAGGTGAAAGACAGTTACCATAACCATCTTCCAGACCTAAATTTGAACATTACATATTATTATTACGTGTTCGATCATTGTGTGAGTTCCTAACAGTCGTTTTCCTGTGTCTGCGTTGTCGCCGACGTCGTAGCCCGTTTAATGCTTTTTATTTTTTGTCAATAGGGAAGCGCCATATTGGTTCTTTCATATTACGACCCTGATAACGGAAGTTAAACAGACTTTTTTCATATGTATTATTTTAGCTTCGATGCTAAACTGAGAAGGTATTAATTTTACTATGATGTGTTATTTTTTTTTTTTGTGTCTTTAACGCTGAATCTCTGCCACTCGCTGGTCCTATTTTGATGAACAATTAGTTAAATGATCACAAATCGTAACTGGTCGAAAACATAACCCTCAAAAATTGAAAAAAATTCCCTCGTTCCCCCTAAACGGGGGAAAATTCCCAAAAAATTACAAATTTAAATTTGCTAATTTTCGATATTTTTTTTAATTTTAATTTCATAAAATAAAAAATATTTATTTATTTTAGGTTTCGACTAGCTGGGATTCCGCCCCAGAACTAAGGTCCTACGAGCTTCGCACGCCTTCTGGACGTAAGCCTCTTTGGGCCGTCCTTACAAGTAGACTACTTATTCTGGTTGGAGTACCGGACTACGCCGTACACGATAAGTGTTTTGCAGGAAGAATATTATATCAGAATCAATGTGTTTAATATTATAGAATAATTCTAAGAAATTCGACAGGTTATTCTTCCTAGAACTATGTAAAAAAAGTAAATTTTCTATAATTGTGATTTGACGTTGTACAGCATCCAGGGGTTCCAATTTTTACGATTAACTCATGTACTTATACACCATATATGAACTAAATAAGATTATCAATAGACTGTACTGTACTGATGGTGTATGTATAAACTTATATATTAAAACTGCTGGTGTTTATGTATAACTTATCGAACAATAATTGATTACAAATATCAACAAATTTTGTATTATAAACTTTTTATTTCTTTATTTAATAAGCCAAACATATTATATATAAATATATAACATAAAATTAGAAAAAAAATATAGTTAATAATTATTAATTTTATTTTTTAAGATTATAATCTTACCCAATCAATACATATATGACAACTATTCAATATGAATTGTAGAAAACAATTAAATAGCCTTAAAAAATCATTTACAAGTTCAAGTTCAAAGTTATAAATGCGCAAAAGTGAACAGGTATTCTTTTCAAAACATGCGCACAAGTGTTTTTCTCCAAAACGGTCGAAATTTTAAAGTGCTTGCGGACAAGTGACAAAAATTTCCCGAACTTGGCCAATAATTTTCCCGGGATCTCATGACCCAGTACTCTTTTGTAGGAGTTTGGAAGAAACAGAAATAGTGTTCGGTCGTGACGAAGCAGTTTGGTGGGTGAGCGCCGATTTTTCTTCTCTTCATCAAGTGCGCGACCTACCACAACTGGTTTATCTGTTGGGGTAGTGTGTGGCAGTGGTCGCGAAGGCGTCATTCGCGTACCGGCCTGCCTAAAGTACTCATATATAGTGTCACGGATTCGGTCGTTGTTTTGTTCGGCTTGCTTTTGATGGTTTTTATGGTTCAATGTACTGTGTTTTGATTGCGTCGGGTTCAATACAGTAATTGACACATTAACAATATTCATTCTGGTACAAGGCAAGATCAGAATATATATATTTGTTTTGTTTAAATATTAATTTGTTAATATATTTGTGTAGTATATTATGATATTATTCTAATTGTAAGAGTACTAAGCGTAGATATAAGATAATTCATTGTAGTTATCATATTAGATGACACATAATCGGTAAATAAATTACAGTCCACTAAAACGTTATTTTTTTATTTTATTCTTTTTTTATTTAATTTAAAGGAACTTTTAGAGACGCGATTTTATTCGGCGATTGGTCGTCCGAGTATTTTGCGTCAAACAAACAGTTTACCAGAAGAATATTCCCCCACATGTAAATTAAATTACATTTAAAAAAATAATTATATTCCTACAAAAAACTTTTTTTTAATCACGACTGGTATTAATGTGGGCCGCTGTTATAATACATACACCACTCATTATTCAGTAGTCTATATGTTATTATCTATTAGTCATCAAATTAAAAATATATATTTTTCATGTTAATACTTTAAACTATTCCAAGAAATATGTTTAAAAATACATTGATATAAATTTACTGTAATAATTATAAGAAATTCTTTAATTGTGAAAAATTATCTATTATAAGTGAAATAATATGTAATAAATAACACAAATTGAGTAATAAACAGATAATAGTAAAAGGTCGTGACACTTCTTGCATAAATAGATGAATTAAATTTAATATAAAAGGGCATAAAAACTATCAATCTCTCTCACTACTACTTCATTCTCCTTATGAACTTTCAACGAATGCAAGAAGTGGCTTGACAAAATACGATTTTACATAGAAAATTGAAGTATATTCATTTTTTCAACATTAGTCCTGAAATCATTAAGGTAAATTCATATTCAACAAAAGATCCATTAGGTTTAAAGTAAATACAATAAGTACATAAATTAAGTAGGAAACCAGGAAAAATAAAGTGATCTCTAGAATAAAATATTGTCTAAATAAATAAAGAGAATCAATAACGTTTATACGAAGTTAACCAGCCTAGTCTAACTTTTGAGTGGATTACCTGTGTAGTCAATACTAATAAAGACTCTCTTGCAAAGATAGAAAATCCACTTATGGTTCCTATACTACTCGAGGTTTTTATTGAATCGACTCACAGTCAGCACAAGCCTAGATAACTACTGGTACGAGTGGCGCTGTTGATGATCTATGTGTGATAATTAATCACAATAATTTCTATTTCAAATTATTATTATATTAATAAATTTTCAAACATCACATTGATTTTCTATATTTTACATCTTCTCATAAACCCTCGTACTCATATCCCGAGAGAAAATTATATTATATCATTTTTTTATTCAATAAATATTATAGTAACTCAATTATTCTCATGCTCATACAATATCAACAAATAAGAATAATTTTAATAAAATCTTCTTAATAAATTTTTGCTTTTTTTTGAATTACTATACCGCCTTGGAACTG